ACCTACTTACTTTAACGTACCGTAAAACTAAAATAACTTACGTTACGTTTTACGTTTTGGGTTCGGTACCGTAACCAACTACTAAGTTTAACTTACACACACACACACACACACACACACACACACACACACACACACACACACACACACACACACACACACACACACACACACACACAAAGTATTCCCAGGTGGTTTCATATATAAGTATGTACTAATGTTATCCACAAAATTCAACCTGAATGCTCAAAAATAAAGGATGGCGAAAACAACTCGATTGCATGGAAATTGAGAAATTTTTAATTCTTACCTGACAACCATTCTAACTGCTGCTCCAGCAGCTAATCCCAGCCATGAGATTTATGTCAACATCTTGGCTGACCATAGAAGTTATGTTACTATTTCACTCTCAGGCCACCAGATATGTGCTGCCAATCTTTCTTCTCATTAACTAGATTGAGATCATGCAACACAGTACTTTCATTGTTTTCTGAATCATCAATCACATTCAACCAATGCATAATAGGTTTATCAGGGTTATACATTCGGCTTTAGCTTGTTCAGTATGCACCATGTAACTTGTTTGGATTGAGCTATCTGAGAACAAGATAAGAAAGAGTACAATCAGAATAGAATTGCTTCTGCATGAAAGGCACATCCAAAAACCATATCTAGTCTCTTTGCTCAAGCTTTCATGTCTTCATTATCATATCTTAGCACCTTATTATGGTGACCTTTCACAACTGTTACCATTCAACTTTTGCATATCATATATTGTAGGCCTCAATTGCACCATGTATTCTTGTGTACACTGTAGCACATCTGCATTGAAAAGGGACCACATGTCACATCCAGTAGGGTAGGGATTCCCAACATTTTTTGTTCCTCTGTACCCCTTGGCCTTTGGCATTCAGACAATTTTTAGGGGTACATGGAAACCTAAGGATCAAATATTGATTTTATATTATTTTATTATGAAATCTGTATGTGTGGACTGAATAAGGATCTTACAGTATTGATAACATCAATAAATTGAACTCTGTATATATTTATGTGAGCCACTTTGCTCTTTGTCTGACTGTAGATTAAAACACCATGAAAAGTGTAAACCATGGTTATACTCTCAGACCCCTATGTACCCCAGGTTGGGAATGTCTGCAGTAGGGGCTATATTTCTTGGCCAAACATCATAGGTTTGAGCATTTGTTCATTTTTTTTCTCTTATAGAATACAGTATCATGATGTATAACAGGTGTTTATCCAAGACAGTTCAGTCAGAATTAACAAATGCTTGATAGTCTGATAGCCAAACCATTGGACTATGGGTAACATGACAAAATGTTAATCTTCACCACTCCTAACATTTCACCTTTCTCCATGTCGAGTATAACCAAATTAGTTCAGTCATCATACTCCTGAAACATTTTAATGAAACACAGGATTTTACTTTCCAGATTTTTTAAGTTCATTAATCATTTCAGTGAAGCCTAATGTACAGAAATGGCAAACTTTCTACTATACAGACCTCTCGTTATGACGAGGAACCCACTTGAAGTATGTGTGTGTGTATGTGCGTATATTAGATATGGCTGATATGGGTGTTAAAAACTTTTATTTCAAACACAAAACAAATAACGTTTCAACCTCATTAGGTCATCAGGTTAGGGATGACATTTGAAAAAGTTACCGTTATTGCTCACCTGTTGTGGTGAAAACAGTAATGATAAGTATAACTATATATAACTCCCCCTTACAATATAGGGAAATGACTTACCACATTGTGTAAGTGGCTAAAAAATGCAGTTTATAGCCAGTTATCTGTGAGCTGTAAACGTGTACAAGTGATTGATTTTGTATGTATCATGAACAAAAAAAACCTTGACTTCTCTATAGTAGGGCTGGCTGATACGGATATTAATAGCTTTTATTTAAAACAAGTAATAAGCATATCTAGATGCTTGGCTCTAGAAGTAGTATTGTGTGCTAGCTAGTTGAGAATGTTTGTCATTCTTTGTAGGCCTATAGATTAAAAACTTTTTACTCGTTCTAGTTGTTACAACTAAACTGGCCGTTTCTATGTTAAAAAAATGTGTATTAGCCAACAGGTTTAGTTGATTTTGTCAATACTTTTTTTAAACTAAATTGGTTGAGAGGAAAATCATTTTAAATCTAAAGAAAGATTTCCAGGCACTAATTCAATATTTTTGTAATAAAGCTTTTAAAAATTTTAAGGAAAGTAAAACATACAACTTCACATTATTTCCTAGTACTTAGGTTCACAAATTTTAGATTTCGAATTTTGATATAAAAAGAAAAAAAGCTTGTACTTCAAAAAATGAATTCAGCATAATAATTTTGGAAGGTGTAGTGCTACTAGGATGGTGCAATGAAAACCTGTTAACATATTTAAACAAAATTTTTGAAACACTGTTTTGTGCAAGTTATAAATTAGAAAAGAAATACAAGTACTTGTTCTAAAATGTGTATTTTTAAATGTTTAGTCAAAATGCATGGTTTAGAATTCTAAGTTTGCTGTGTATTTAACTTAGGATACAACAGTATAATTTCATGAAAATACTTTAAATGTATTTTAGGAATTATGTTTAGTTGGTATAGATGACACCAACAGAATTAAAATTAAGTTAATCGTTCATAAGAATTCATATATATAAAAGTGAGATAGACAAATAGTAATTATAATAGTAAATCTATGTTAAGATTCAGTTTCTATTCTACTTAGCTGATAACATGAAAGTGAAAGCATTTAAAAAAAACCCGTCTTAAGTGGCTATTTTGGTGTGATGTATTAATTTACAAAAATTTTTATGTAGGTGTCCAGAGTCATCGACAGTCAAACAGAAGATGCTGTACTCTAGTAGTTGCGATGCTATCAAAAAAGCACTTGTAGGAATCTACAAGTGTGTACAAGCTTGTGACTTTGAAGAAGCATCTAAGGAAGTTATACTGGAGTCACTTAAGAAGGGTGGAAAGTAAATCAAGATTTTTTTTTCAGTCTTCTGATTGTCTACTTTGTTGTAATATTTAATTTTGCAAAACAGACATGATTCCATTATACTCAAATGCTGAGTGCAGAGTCAAATAATGTACTCTAAGTAATGTTTGAATCATACAATATTTTTCCCAAAGCTCTTACATGATTACAGAAGTTTTAGATCTTTTGTGAATGTGTATTATAATCTATTTCCATACTGATTTTTCTTTTCAAAACCATTCTTGATCTGTATTGGACTAAATTTTTCAGCTTGATTACACAAGGATACATTAATTATTGCTTATTTGTCCGAAGTCTCTTGACTGAATTTAGTAATTGTAATAACATGAATATTTTAATAATATTAATGTAATCTTGCAAAGAGGGAGAGAGAATAAAGTCCTAGATCATTAATTTTTTGCTAATTCACATGATATGCATTTCATTTATTTTGTCAGAAGTTAAGTTTACAACTTCTGTGTTTAAAGCATTTTTGTGTGTCTGGTAGTATTTGCTTAAATAAAAGTGTTTTGTTTAGAAAATTAATAACTTAACAATAATTACAGCTTAGACCAAAACTAATAGTTCATGGAATGTAATTATTGATTAGCTAATTTCTGTCAATAAATATTCAGTACAACAATTTTTTGTATTAGATATGATTAATCTATGTTGTCTTAATTTATTGACATACAGGTGGATATGCACAAGGTGAGTTTGAAAGCAATACTATAAAACCTATATAATAAAGTGAAAAATTAAATTTGAGGAGAGGGAGTTACAATACTTAAGAATATTGACAGAAGGTATATGTGTGATATGTCTCGGGCATGGAAGTTTCAGATAGCATTGTTATTTTTATTCTAAAGGCTTGAATTTGAAAAAGTAATGAAATTCACGATAACACCAACATACAATTAATATTCATGTACACTGAGGAATGTTAAGGGACAAATTAAAAATCAATTTACATAAACTAAAATCATAAATAATATTCAACGTTAAACTGGTACACAATTAAAATCATTTTATTTAGGCCTATCTATAGCCTTCAAAAAGTTGACGACTCTACATGTTTTGACGTTACAACGTCATCCTCAGGAGAACGTCGAAACATGTAGTCGTCAACTTTTTGAAGGCCGTAGATAGGCCTAAATAAAATGATTTTAACTTTATACACAAGTGCCAAAATACTATAATTACATAAACTTGTTTTACACTTAAATTAAAAGCAGTGTGCAGGAGTCAAATTGAACATTACTGTATTATCAAAAAACAGTTCTAGAAAGGAAGGCTGGAGAATAAACAGTGGTGAAATTTGTTATTTTTGTAATGTGGATTACCAGTAAGAAGTTTTAGTGGTGGTCTTTGGGAATTTTTGAAAGTCAAAAAGCAATTCTAAAAACAAAATTAAAGATAATAGTAGGAAAAGCAAAGGGAAGAGGTTGAGTAGTACTTCCTAGAATTGTAAATATATTTATGAAATAAAAGCTGTAAATCTTGAAACACTGAAGTACCATATGGGCAAAACTGTACCAGAGAACCTTAGGCAAGCAAGATGGATACAAGACAAATCAACCAGTTGCTTCCATTATCTCATCTTCATATTGCCTATGTTAACAAGTTGAATTTTTTTTCATCAGAAAAATGGTAAGCCGTGCTTAGACAATTAGGATTTGGCTCTTTTTTTTTCTTTCTGCAAGTAGCAAACTGGTCCTAAGTACAAGTTATGTTTGGAAACTGTTATCAAAAATAACGTTTTATAATAATAAAAGCAGTATACTTGTTCTTGTAACAATCTTGGCTTTTGAATGAGCAAGCTCATGTTTAATCAGAGGCTTTATTCACCATTGTCCCTTTTTAATATCTTAAACCAATCAAAATAGAAAACATCACATTCTCCTAGGGTGTGTTCAAATACATTTGACTAAGGTTAGCATGTTCTTTTAGTAAAACCAAGCAGCAGGAACAAGTAAATCTATAAACTACAAATGATGATTAAAGCTGGAATTTGGCCCTTAATCCTGTATTTGACAATTAGTTTTAAACACATCCGAACTGTATCTGCAAATATGCCCTGCGCGTGCTATTTTTTTAAACTGATTATTAATAATGAATGTTTATCTTTGTATGGTAGACTGAAAACCACAGAATATTTAGAAACTTCAAATATACATGGTTTGATATTGTTAAATTCTTTATGCAAAACTTTTACACGCTAGATCGATATTTTGACTAAATTTTCCTTAAACATATTTAGAATAACACTTGCAGAATCAAACTACAAGCCTGTAAATGTTTTTTGTGGTACATTTCACACTTGAAATGACCATTATTCTTATTACTGATTAAAGTGTCTTAAAACGAAGGTTTATGATCTTCCTGAAGTTCTATGGTAAACTTTATACTGCAATGTCTGCTCTTAAAATAATGAAATTGTGAAACTTGATATAAGTTCTCATCAACAAACCTTCAATAATAGAGGTTTAAACTTTTCTGGAAACTTATTTTCTAACTGTTGTTTTTCATAAATACACAAAAATAGATTGACCAATCTTGAAACAATAGTAACACTGTTAATTTGATAATAAACTTTCCATTCCAAGGAAAGTGGAATTATTTAATGGAGAAGTTCATTGATTTCAGAGGAACTGACTTAGGGATGGTTGCATTGTAAATGAGATCAGTACTTAGCCATATGGTCACTTCTAAAGGTACATCTCTTGTTAATGGTTCTACATCAAAACTGGCATAGTGCACATTACTATCAAACTTGTATTTCATGAACCAGATTTAATTTTAAGAGGAAGATGAAAATTGCAGTTTACTTGCATCATTTTTATAACAATTTTAAGCCTATACATTAATAAAGCTTTACTAGCTACTGGCTGTCATTTGCCATGGTTGATGAAGAGATAACCAAACTTGAGTAGCACAAAGTATATTTTATGTTCTTGGGACCAAATATAAAGGGTTTAGGGAAGCGGTGGACGATGGAAGTATTGCCACTAAACTATAGAATTACTACCGAGATGGATGTTGAAAGAACTTTGTTTTTGATATAGAATTCTTACAGTACATAAATTTCCTAGCTGGATATTTCCCATTACTTCAGGAGGAAATATCAAATGCCAACTAATTTTCTCTTATTGGAAACACACACTCAAAGTATGGATTGAGCTTGTTGTTTTTGACACATCTTTCCCAATTGATAAACATTTTTAGTTGAAAATGTTGATGCTCTTGACAAAGTTCACGAGTTAACCGAGGCATTGTTAGTGTGTCGTGATAGTGAAATTATGATAATACTGATTATTATAGGGAGGAAGTTTATAATGACCTTTTTCTAGAGAAAAAAAAAGTTATTTCAAAATGTCTTAAATTTGGAAATTAAACAGTCCTTGTATAACAATGGTACCCCCAAAATGTTTAATTTAAAACCTAATCCGGATAAATCCAAATTTTACTCCAACATTTCTGTTGTTAGGAAATTTTACAATATATATATATATAATCCTAATTTGGTAATTCAATAAAGAATTGATTTTGATTTCAAAACTATAAATCTGACAAATTTTTGTACTAATCTGAACAGGAGTAAGGAGTGAAATACACCAATGGAATTGTATGATCGTTCAGTAGAGTTAATTGATCTATAGTTATTATTTGTATTGCTGTCAAGCAAAAAAAGACTTTGGCTAAGCAATTTCAATAAACTGATGTAATGGGCAGCACGCTTAGGACTAATCGTTGGAGTTTCAGTTATAATGCCAATTACACCTAATTTATTTAGTTAAGGATTGCAGTGGTGAGTGGAGCTCAAAAGTCGTTAACTCAAGGTAATTTACAGTTAGAATAAAGAAACAGATTCAGAGACTAACATCAAACAAAATATAATAACATTTATTAAATCTTTCCACATCTATACACTGTTAATATCAATAATTAAACATTTACTAAACCATTAGGTTCTTGCAACTTTACTTTTCACCTTTCAGTCAACAAACTTCCTTTAGTCAATTTCATTAATTGATCAACAGAGTTGGACTGGTATACTTCTGGAGATTTGAAACATTCATACTCATAGAGGCTTGGAACTGGAGAATGCCGATTCTTTCTGGAGATAACTTAAGGAACTCCAGAACAACTGATTGTTTGGTCACAGGCACGAGTTTTTTAACTCATATTTTCTTAATATTCTGTCGATCTTCCAAATAGTATTCGTAACTACCCACAAGTAGTTCTAACACTTTATTGGTCGATCTATGTAACTTCCTTGGCTAGTCCAAAACTCTCAAGCGATTGGTTACTGTTATGGTGAGTGAGCCGGTTGCCTTCTTACTTGTGCTAGTACACCAGCATCGTGCAAGGAATATATAATCAAAGTACAACTTCTGCGTGTTAACATCAACTTTTTCGTAGCCTCCACAGTACTAACAAGTTGGCATTAATAATTAATCATTATGCTAGCATTTTTCTCAACATCTCTGTTGTAGCTTCATTTTTTTATAACTCGTAATTCTCAATACCACTTAACCAGCTGGCTGTAGTTTCCTAGCTCTTGACCTTATTTCTTAATACATGCAACTTTATTTACGACACTTCTTCATGTGTATGTTCACTTAAAAACTCAGAAAATTGTTATAACTTCTTAAACTTTTTTAAAACGCTAAAATACTTAAGCAATTAAAAAATTCCCTCAAAAATATCCAATTGCTTCACTGATTACAGATTTGTTTGTATGCTAAATTTCTGACTCATCAATATAATTCAATTGAAAACCCCCAAGATGCTTACCAAAACACAAACTTCAGTGAAGAAAAGATGACCTATAGGCCTAATATTTTCTTTGATTCCATACTCCCACTGCAGTATACTAGTTTTGTCTATTTCACAGCTCATCAGTGGTGGAATATAAGAAACTTGTTTGATGTTTTGATGTATAATCCTTTACTCAACACTAACAAAATAACATACTTCAGGTATTTTATGTCATTAGTGATAAGTAAACATCAATTGGCTATTAGTTGTTATATGGTTGCTAGGTTATTTATAATTGTTCAAGTTATGTATTGAAATAGGTTCCTTTTTAAAATTAATTCCTATTAAACTGTCACAGATCTTTCCCACAGAAAGTTTTTACAAAGTTAAAAAAAAAGTTATTTTGCAAAATGTTTATCAGAATGCACTGAAAACTGTTTTTCATTAAAAGAAGAAAATAAGTGGCCAATCACAGCTAAGTGGTTAGTGTGAAGCTGAGGTTCCATGGTTTACATTCTGTTACTGCAAAAAAAATAATAATCTGAACTCAGCATTTTGGAGCCATGGGTGCTTTATAAGAATGATGGTCTAACAAGAGCTTACAGTGTATGGTGTTGACTAGCTGCTTTCCCTCTAGCCCCCTCACTTAAAGTTAGGAATGGCTAGCATAAGCCTTAGTGTAGCTTTGAATGAAATTCAACAATCATAAAAATACTTTATACAAGAATATCACCAAGAATTTCCATGAAAAACATTTTGTTTAAACAATGATACATTTTAATAAAAATTTTCACCACATAAAATTATTGGTATTTCCATTAAAAAAGATTTTACTTGCATCATATGTCGTAGAAGAACTTGAACTTCTTGAAAAAAACTGCCCTGTTGGAGATGCAGCTTCTGCATCAGATGGAACCATCTCAGCTTCTTCATTTTGTTGAGATAATTCTTGACATCATTCCACAGGATAAAGTCAAGCTCTTCTAGCTCGCATGAACAACTAGTATGGTAGTTGTAACTACATCCAGCAACGTTGAAGCTTCAATATTAATGTTTTCAGCTTCAGAACCTCATGAATACAAAAAATTAACAACTTAAGAGAAAGACTCCATAAGGAAGAATATTTCCTCCATTTTAATTTCTACTAGAGTTTCAGGTGGCATGTCTAGAAAAATGTAAAATTTAAATTTACTAAAAAAGTACAACCAACAACAATATGAAAAAAACAACAACAAAAACTGTTTACACAATAATAGCACTGACTATAAACAAAACTGAAATTTCTGAAGGATGTCATGCATAAGAAAAGTTTCAATATATACCACCATCAGCTTTCTTTCATTAGTGCAAAAAATGCTGTGTATTTAAATATAATTTTAATATATATTTCTTAATGTACATCTGTTAACAAGTAAAAATAAAACCTGCAAGATCTCCTTTACCAAAAACAAAATTGAGTATTATCACTTAAACCCTCAGAAACTTTCAACTTGTTAGCTAGGTTCATATTCTGGGGTGAAAAAAAAAACATTTTTCAGATTCTCTACTTTTAAATGTGCACATCACAAAAGTTCCTTGCAAGCCAGCCATTAAGCAATGTGTGTAACAAGGAGTGAACATACTAAATCAGGTCATTCATGGGACTGGCTACAACCTACCAGCCAGACAATACTGGTTTCAAGAAGAGAAGCAGAAGATACTCAAGTAACATATATAAAATTATAAGCTAGTTGTTTATTCTTTCTTTGAAATCCTCACAACTGTGTTACAATAAATTACAAAGGACTACACCATCACTTAAACATGTGCTTTACAAAGCACTTTTCTGAAGAATACTAAAACCTAAAAGTCTTTTACTATAACACTAAACAAATTTTGTTTTCAATCTACACTAACTTTTTTTTTTTCTTCTAGTTTCAAAACC